CTGCCCACCTACCCTCATGCCACAGCATGCACCCCCCTGCCCACCTGCACTTGCGCTAAGCTGCAGCACCACCCACCCACCCACCGACCGGCCCGCTTGCAAGCCACCTAAGGAAAGGCTTGTCATGACCGGGACTTGCAACTTCCTGCCACCTTCCCCATTTACTTTGCTTATTGGAAACCAGCAGGAAGTCACAAGTTGCAGTCAGGTGAGGTCTTCACTTAACAACTTGCAATCCTCACTTAACATCGGCACCTGGGACCGCCAGGATTGCTGTCACTAAGCAATGTGGTCATGTGATGTTGCGCTTTACAACTGCACTGCTTAGCAACAGAAATTCTGGTCCCAAGTACCATCATAAGGGAGGACCACCTGTAAGTATACACACCTACTGATTATAAACTTACTGACCATGGAAAGTGTTCTAAATATAAATGCTGAATAGGTTCCATTTTCAGCTATATAAGAAAATACACTCTCTCCTGATTTTCTAAGAATGAGGATAGTGCCTCCCCTCTCTGAACAAAGTAATCTTATGAAAGAGAAATTTATTTTGAATTTCCTTGATCTAGTTATTTTTTGCAAAATTACGTTTATTATGATAATGTAATAGGCTCTGTCAGAAAAAAGGTGGCTTTCCATTTTCTTTATAGTGAAGTTTCAATCAAAAACAAATCATGACCAATAAGAAAAAAATTATCCCTCTAGAGTGATCTATATTATGTATTTTCTTTATATCAGAATGGACCTAATCATAGACAGAAACATCAGAATCCTTGTGTGAATATATTATTTAATGAACTATCATTTACACAAAATGATATATCTGTCTCTTTCACATCCACCCTATATCCCAGAGGGTTATGCCACACCCCCCCCGCCACCCCCGCGCCATATCCATTTCAAAATACAGTTTGTCTTTAACCCTTGCAAGCTGCCTAGAAGCACTGATAAGTGGATGTCCCTGGAACTTAATATATATTTGTTGCTCAAGATTTTGGTCATATAGAGACATCTGGCAGGCTACACATTTATTGCATGTTTGACAAATAGACCACTAGTTAGATCAAAAACTTTGGTTCAACATACACTGTTAATATATGATAGGAATTATATATTTGTTCTATGGGTCAGATCACAATTATATAAATCATTTATATTTTGAACTGAAATTCAGAGGGTCAACTTATCATCCCTAAGTTTTGTAAAGGGTATACCATTAAGGTTTACACCAACGTGTAACACAAATATTTTTAGTTTTGTATTTTGATATGTTACTTTTTAATTTTTTAAAAATTAACCACAGAAAAAGCAATGAAAATGAATATACAATTTTATAAAAGTAGTAGTGAAAAAAAGGTAAAAAAATAAACAAAAACATACAGGGCATATGTTCACCGACTTCTAGCTCTTGAAAAGTACCAAGTAACATACTGACGTAGAATAGGCATACTGGAGTGAAGGTCAGGAAAAAAAAAGTCCTGCACCATTTACTTCCCAATTTAGTATCTCTGTTCTGTCAGGTTATATTCTCTTGATTATGACAGGAACAGAAGATTCTAACAGCTTCCCAAAAAACGGACATATGACGACATAAAGACCATCTTGCAAATCCACAACTGAATACTGGAGTAACTTCACTGTATTGTTTACATTTTAAGAGTAGTGTAAAATGAAGTACCGTTCCTTTGGAAGAGACTCACGCTGTATATTATTTGTTAAAACGCGGGAACTGTCACAAAGACAAAGACAGCTATTTTTGTAACAACAGTTTCTGTTTCAGAAATGACTCAGAATGTGGCAGGGTTTCACATGTGGTAAAACAGGTACATTTGTTGAATGTTAAGGATGTGAAATTTGGGCTATATGAGTAATACAGTAGTATCAATAATGAGGTGACTAGTATTATACTGTGTCTGTATTTTATGCTTGTTTATAGCCCAGAGAGATGCTGTTTGAAAGGAAGGAGAATATCCCAACTGCAGAATTTTGGACATCTGCTGTGTTTCACAAAATAACCTTCCTCCACCCCCCAAAAAACCCTTAGCATCCAAAGATGTAAATAATACCGTCTGTTGTAAAATCAGCTAAGAACTTTTTTAGTCTAAGTGGCAACGGACTGAAGATTGCTGGATGAAATCCAGTAATGAACTATTCATGCGGTACGTGCCTCAAAAGAAGCCTGTCTGTTGGCTGCACTCTTGAATCTGCCAGAAGAAATTTATGGGAGCAAATTATATAAGTAGTGAGAAATACACTCCCAAGTTATATGTGCCTCTCTGAGCAATCCTGGTTTGGAAGCACGGTCAAAATAACCAAGCCTGATTTGATATCAGAGCAAACCCACACACTCAAATACACCAACCTACGGAAGTAACAGCCAGGCCCTTTTTCCCTTATGCAAATGAAGACAGCAGCACTTTAACTCACTTACATGATGGGGAGAGAACTGGCAAAGCCCTACTTAATGAAATTGGGATTTTTGGTTAGCTGTGTGTTTCCCCCTCACTCCAGCCAGAAAGTTTTTCTCCTCCAGTGCAAGTCTGTGAAGTGACTAAGCGCATGAATGCGCCGTGACTTGTGACTGGTTTGGTAAGTTACCTAATACTCAAACTTAAGTTACATGCAAGGTGATTTCAAAACAGCACGTGGTGCATTTCATCTCTGTAGTCTCCCTAACCCTATCTTCTCATGAAAGGGGAGGCTAAGAAGAGCAAGAGCAGGTCACTGACTCCTCCCTATCAGTCCTTAGCCTGAAAGATAAGCAAGACAGAATTCGAGCAGGCCAAGCCTTAATCTATTGTTTCCCAGCTGTGCTGCTGGCTGTGGTATGTGCTAGTAAAAAGTATATTCACCAACACTAATCTGGCACAAGGAAAGCAATGGGGGCAGAACGCAAGTCTCCTTGGAAGGCAGAATAGCTGGGCCAGCCCTTGCCTTGGTACCGGCCCCTTTTCCTAGCCAGCTATTCTTTATCCCCTCTGTATCAATCCTTCGCTCTCATTTTAAACTATCCCATTCTATCCTGAAGGCTGTGAAAAAGGAAGCCATGGATTTAACCTTTGCAAATGTAACACCCCCACCAAAGGCTTACACAAGCACACACAGGAAACACATTCCCACCCAGACTCAATCCTGTAAACGTCCCTAACGGTATTCTGAGCAAACTCGGCCTCATGAAATATTTAAAAAATAGAATATGCAAGAATCAAAATTGGGAAGAAGGGGTTGCATGGAAGTTCAGACTGTTGCCAATGCTCCTAACAGCAAGCATTATGGGGACCTACACAACTGCTTTGAAACAATCTGAAATCAGCTAGCTAAATCTCTGCTACAACCCCGATGATTTGTTTTCCCAAATGGAAAGAAAGTCCTCCTTCCCTCTTCCTTCCCCTCAACCACTTACTTCCTTCGGAACATCTCTGCAAAGATACATCCAACGCTCCATAAGTCCACCGGAGTAGCATAGGTTGACTGGAGTAGCACTTCTGGAGCACGATACCAGAGGGTGACCACCTGGATGAAAGGAGAAATCAAGAAGCATGAAGATGGACAAAAGCCGCGGAGAGAGGCTCAAGATCCACACTGGAGATGAGGCTAACTTTCATAAGAAACATCCTGATGCCTTCTCTTTCACGCTTCTTTCCTTCACATTCCTATTCAGCACTACCCACCTCTCCATTCCCAACAGAACTTCTGGGCATCGATTCTGGTTTGGAAATAATATTAATATTAATATCGAATATAGATCTGCAGCTACATATTATAGGCACAAAGCTGCTTTCCATAAAACCTACCAAGACCACAGAGGCTATGGAATATCTCTTGTACACTATCAACAGGAAAAACAATAACAGAGCAGTCCCTTCCTATTAGCTGCAAAGATCTCACATGGTGGAACAGCCACCTGCTATCCTCCAGGTATTATAACCCCAATTCTCATAAGCCCCTGCCAGCTCAGCCTGGGATTCTAGTAGCTGGAAGTCCAAAACTCTGGGATGGAATTAGCTGGTTTATTCTTGTTCTCATGAATCTCCCAACTTAGCTATGCTAGCAGGAACAGACCTTTTTCTTTCTCATAAGTGCTCACCAATGGTGTCAGGGCCATCTGGCAGCTATAGATACGAGCCAGTCCAAAGTCAGCCAGCTTGACTTGACCAGAGCTGGTCACCAGGATGTTCTCTGGCTTAAGGTCACGGTGAACAATGCAATTTGAATGCAAGAAATCCAAGCCACTCAAGAACTGACGCATCATGTCCTGGAGGTGAGAGGTGGGAGAAGAACATGTGACATCAACATCTCTGCTTAGGATTCCTTGTATTCTGACCCCATCTGGAGGCCAGCCCAAAACAGAGTACCAGACATCAATCTAAGGTGCCTCTGAAGACATTTACCTTTATTACTTCTGGGGGTAAGCCAGGAGGCGGTGTTTTTTCCAAATATGCTTTCAGATCCTGATCTACATGCTCAAAGACCAGAGTCACTTTGGTCTCTCGTTCAGTCCGAGTTGTTGTGCAAACATCCATTAGCCTAAAGAGGAATGAAGGAAAAGACACTCAGCAAATGTTCCACAACTGCCAAGAAAGAATGAGACTGGTGAAGTTAAGAATACATCTTCTTAAATCAAAAGGATCTTTGAATAGTTTTGCTGATCCTGAATCACATCCAGGCACATCAAATGTCCTGAATAAGGAGACAGGATGGAAACCTCAAAGCTTGCAAGAAATAATACAGGCCTCTACATAATGGGTTTAACGTATTAGGCTCTTAAGGGTCCATGCCATCTGCCCCATATGCTTTTTTCTTTGTCTCACTAACCTACCAACATACGTCTATTCCAGCCTCAAGATCCTTCTATAAAAGATTTATTGATATACCCCTTCCCTCAATCTCTCCATTCCCATCCTATGCTTATCTCCCATTCTAGCTCTACAGTTCTTTTAATTCATCCAGTTTCTGCTGTGAGTCATCCTTAAGACAAATACTGAGCATGTTGTAAATTACCAGTAGGCCAAGGCCTCCACATTCCCTTTGTCAGGACAAAACCAGAGAGCCACATAGAAAAAAACAGTCTCTAAGCCCACCAGCTTCTCCTAGACCCAATTTCTGATCTGACTTATTTGATAAAGGTGATCCTTTACAGCAAGCAGTCTTCTCTAATCTGGCTCTCCACCTACGTTAGATCTGCAACCCCAGTATGACTGGTCTCCTTCTGTTGCCAAGACACTGCACCATAAAAGGCTGTGTTACACTTTCAATGAATGATCTAACCAAGCTATAGCCCATCCCCTTAGTTGGTCTGCTCCACAGAACAAAGGCAGATGAAAGTACCCATTGTTATTGGAGGATGCAGCATGGGAGAAAGAATGGAGAAGACCAAATAACTCAAGAACTATAATCTGAGACAAATTATTCTAAAATAGCTCTAATGAATTCAGATTACCCACTGCGCACAAAGTCATAATCTGATTGTTTCAGTTTTGGCTTAGCATGTTATAGGGATCTAATCAATGTGGCTTGTAAATCATAGCTTAAAGCTTAGCATAATTTGTAAACCTAGGCCAATTGTGGTTTATTCAATAAATCAGAGTTAAGCAAGCCATGCCTCAGTGCAATGCCCACCATCCAAACCCCCATATTCCTGGTGCTAACTACGTACCTGAAGAGGGCTACCACCTTCCACACAAGTGGCTGTGACAGTTATCAATGGAGGCACAATATGCTCAGTCCTCTTTCACCACCTTCGATTGTGGTTATCCTAACTGAGCTAGGAAGTGTGGCAGCACCCTGCTCTTGATAGAGGGCTAAAAAGCCAACCCATATTTATCAGACTACAAATAGATCACACTTAGATTTTCCCTCCCACATTTCTTAGACTGTGTGATCCTGCTCTTCATATCAGTTTTTCCCAACCAGGAACATTCTTCCTGTATACAAAGGCCACACTGGCCAAGGGTGATTAAAGCTGTAGTTCTGCCTATTAAGATCCAATTTAGACCACCAGTTTCCTGGCCTAATCCGAATCACTTAAAAGGGGCACTGAATTAGGAAGGCTGCCCTAACTGAAGACAGCCTCATTTCCAAGTATAGCTCTCAAACATTATAGGCTAAACTCAAGCAGGAATACAGAAGATTACTGGAGAAATTCACAGCACTGAATCTTGAACATATTCCTTCTATCCAGTCCTTGATATGAAGTCTTGGCCCTGTCTTCATTTCCAAGCCTTAACTCTGCAATCTCACACAAGTTGAACAAAAGACTATTAAAAACTTTCCAGCGAATTACACTTTATCAAGAAAATCAGTTCTGTGCAGAGTCTGTGTAGAGATAATAGTTTCCAGTCCCCTTGTTAGTGGATAAATAAATTGATTAGTTAACATAAACTTATGTTCTTTTGCATCACTGAACTGTCTAAAGACTGGGCTTTTTGAATGTCAGTATACCATTTAAGTCAAATTACACACACACACGCTGTCTCTGTATGTATGTATATAGTGTATGTTGACTTGATGGCACATTCTCTCTGTATATATTTATGTTTACCAATTGAGGATTATTCATCATCATATGAAACCCACAAAAGCCCATGCCACAGTATAACATTTATTTGTATTATTTGTATTTGCAAAATAATTACCATTATCTCTGCAAAGATATAGAACGCACAGACAATTTGAGCCATTTACACAACTGACTCTCAAAGGCAGCAGTTTCAGGCAATTTTAAACACCAGCCCCCTAGTCCTGGACTAGTTGCACATCTACCCTCCCCTAAACCCCACCCTGGAAGGCTTGTAGTCACGGATCAGTCCCGCACCGCACGACGTTGGGGTGGTCGAAGTGCTCCAAACGTTTCAGCAGGGCCACCTCTCGGACCGTTGACAGCGGGAGTCCATTCTCACTGTTCTGCACTCGTACGTTCTTGAGAGCCACAAATTTGCCACTCTGCAGGTCCCGGGCCTTGAAGACAGTGCCATAAGCTCCAATACCAATTTCAGCCACGGGCTCATACTGTTCCTGCACGCCCATGGCCATCCTGGCCGTCCCTTGCTGGAGTCGCTGAAGTTCTAAAAGAGCAAGGAAGAGGAGAAAGGCTACTTCTCATCTATCTCTTCTCATAGCAAGCTCCTTGAATACCCCAAGGACAATCGTTCTCTTTTGTTTTTAAACAAGCCAGTTTATTCCTCCTACATAGAACCCATCTATTACATCACAGCCTTTCCCAAGGATTCCACGGCACCCCCATCCTTATCTGACGGACAGCTTCTTTCCCCACCTCGCTAGAATAAACAACTCTAAGGGAGGAACCTGGTCCTTTTGACAGAGAAATGGATTTGGAACTCTTTCCATCTGCATTCAAGTGGGTAGTGGATCTGACTCAGCAGATAGCACTAGCAGATTTTGATAACTAGGCTTTTAATATTGATGCAGAAGAGGGAATTTCAGCAGGTGCCGCTTTTCGCAATGCTTGCAGGGAAAGTGGCACTTTGGGGGATTCCCCTTTCTAACAGCATCGATAGGGATATGCTCCCCACATAGGCCCAAATGATTCACGTATACATTCCAGCCCTTTTATTTGCAACAACATGAGTGGGGTGCACTCATCAAATAGTATTACCTATTTTGACCATAATAACTTGTCCTAAGTGTGCACACTCAATGTGTTCACCTGGCAACAGGGGAGAAAGGAAAAGCAAATCCTAACTTAAACTTTAGTCTATGCATCTTCCCTAAAGTGGCTACAGAGATACTAAGTGGATATCAACAGGGCAGTAAGCTTTCTGTATATATACAGAACTATGCATGTACAGTCTGCACTCAGCAATTATTCCGATAGGTTAATGAAGGCATGTAAGTTTGGCTAGGCTTCCCCAATCCCCCTTTCTCCCCCACCACAGATCCTGAGTACATACATTAATGTTGTTTGAAAAGAGCTGTTGTATCATAATTACAACTAGAGGAGGTGGAACCTGGCCTTTCCCCATATTTTAATGATGGGGTACAGAAGATCGTTGATACGGGGCATACTTGGATGCACTGAACCATATGTATTTTGCTCAATTTTCACAACTTAAATTAATCCCCCGCCCC